CTTTGCCCAGGTCTCAGCTACAGAGAAGGCCCTCTTTTGGACCCCCATCAACCAGTCTTGTGCTGGCCATGGGGCCCAAGGGGAGAGCCTCCTCAGAAGATTGTAAGAGCCAGGAAGGCTCGTATGAGGAGATATGGTCCTTCAGATAAGTCTGGACACAAGCTGTACAGGGCTTTATAGGCAATGGCCAGCATCTTGAACTAGGCCTGGAAATGGACTGGTAGTCAGTGCAGTTATTGTAACGGGTATTACAGGCTCCGGACAACTGGCTGGTTGCTAAATTTTGAACCAGCTGAAGTTTCCGATCCATCTTCAAAGGGGGCCCTTGTTTTGACATATAAAGCACTAAACGGCTTGGGCCCTGGATACCTGAAGGACCGCCTCCTTCAGATCTAGCCAGGGGGCCGTTTTGAAAGAGCCGTCCCTCAAGGAGGTAAGAGGGACGGCTTGTAGACAAAGGGCCTTTTTGGCAGCTGCCCCCAGACTATGGAATGCTCTCCCAACTGAAATTCGTCTGGCGCCGACGTTGATGACATTTCGGTGCCAGGTCAAAACCTTCCTGTTCCAGAAGGCTTTTAATTGAAATAACATCAACTGTGGGTCCTGGTGGCAATTTTAATTGTATTTTAATCATTTTATCTTTTATTGTATCTTAATTGAATTTTAATTGCTGTAAGCCACCCAGAGACCTTTGGGTAGAGTGGGCGGCATATAAGTTAAATAAACAAACAAACAAACAAACAAACAAATAAATAGCCTCACAATTATTGTTATTATTTATTTTATTTATATCCCGCCCATCTGGTATATCATACCACAGTAATCCATGCATGATGTATAAATAAATAACTAAGGCTTATGTTATTCCTCGTCCACTCTACAAGGCAGGACAGTATGCTTAGGGTCGTGCTTAAGATGATCAACAGCAGAATCAGATTGATTGTTTTCCTAAACAGAGAGACTTATATCCCCTTCCCCTCAAAGAAGAAGAGCTAAAGTTTGAAGCTATGGCCAAGCTGTCACCCCAGGAGCCTTCCCGGAACGCTACACCCAACAGAAACAAACTGGTTGGGGATGGCTGTTCTCCCTGGAAACAGGATCATTCCTGTTGGGATGTTCCATGGGAAACAGATGCCAGCTCATTGCTCTGATGGCACCAGCACCATTGCTTGTCTTGAAGTGACATTGTTTTGTTAACCCCATAACTCATCTTGCTTTTGAGTCCCATACTTGTCCATCGCGTGTTGAAAGAAATTTAATACAAAACGGCTGAGTTTTGTTTCACAGTTGCATGTCTGTGCACTTCATAAAGTTTCTAGATTTCATCACTGAAGTAGGAACCAAATCTCTTCAGCATCCCAGTGAAATTATTTTTTGTCCTTTTGGTTTCAGCAGACTGTGGAAGCAAACTAAGTGCAAATTTCAACTTGGCCACACAAATAACTGACATTCTTCCAGCTTCGTTTCCACTGCAAATACTAGCAAGCTGTACAAGATGCTCCTCCTAACACTGTCGCCTTTGATTGTGAAATGCACTGGGAGGAAAGACATGTGATGCCATTAAACTGGTTTACTTCTCTTAATGTAAACACAAAGGTTAAGTTCAATAGCAAAGTCAGTAAGTTAAGTAAGGTCCCTTAATTCCCACTGTATCCATTTTGCAACTGAAATAGAATCCACAGAAAGAGAGAGAAGACCCGTCATGTCATCCCTACACTTTGCAGGATACCATAGGAGAGATCCTGCCCTGAGGACCTTAAGATGCTAAAATTAGACATGAGAGAAAAAGCAGAGGAATAGGAGGTAAGGAGCAAAAAGAGGAGCAATAAGTGGTGACATTGGTTGCATGTGCATGCCCATGTGCCTAGACTTAGCTTCCTACTCAGGGTGTAATGCAATGTGTTTGTCTTGCTGTTTGGTCAGCTGTGGAGACAAGCTCATTTTGCCAGGGACCTGACAATGTAAAAGCTAGTGAAAACCAGACCATTCCCCAAAGCATTCCTACTTGCACCTTTCTGGATCTTGTGTCAGGTGCTACTGTTTGTTGTTGTTTTTAGTGCATGTAGGATCACTTCATTTTGGTTCAATTCCAGCAGGGAAAACCACTGGAACCAAAGCAGATTTGTGGCTTTAAATTTCCCTTCCATTTTCAATTTCCCAATATTGTTAAGTGGCTAAGAACACAGCTTAGCCACTTCACAATATTGGGAAATTATGCACTGCCAAAGGCTTTATTGAAAAGTGGCTTCCAATATCTCTCAATATCTCTCTCCCTCTCTCAGCTCACGTTTCTGCAGATTCATCACATGGGCATATTCTAGAGGAAAATCTGAAGCAGGCCTCACACAGACATGCTTAAAGAAAGCAGGGAAAGGATCACTTTGCTTTGGCCCTGACCACTTTGTCTTTGAGTCTGCCCACATATAACCTTGGCCTCAAAATTCCCACCCAGGGCTGAAACAGATCTGTCACGACTTTTGCTAAATCAAGCCTCAGCCCCTGAGTTGAGAAAGTCTGCTTGAGTCTGACCTAAAGATTGCTTTCTCTCACTTGAGCCCATCTGGATTACAACCCTTTTCTGAAATTAAAGGGCCTCAAACCTAGTCCATCACCATAGTCTGGAAGGGCCTTTGTTCACACCTCCGAAATAAAAATTACTAGTGGTTGTTGTGGGTTTTTTGGGCTCTTTGGCCGTGTTCTGAAGGTTGTTCTTCCTAATGTTTCACCAGT